GAATGACACTACAGCGCAGCCCTGCGCGTCCAGCTTGCCATCAGCGCGCTCCTCATCTCTTCCTTAAAACGCTTTCCTTTGCACCCCTGTTTTCCCCTCTGTGTCCGTGTAATTTCTCTTTCTTTGCTTGCTTTCTGTTGCCTTGTATCACCCCTATAATATTGTATAGTTACCATTAGAGACCGCCTTATTCCTCTGGTGCTTCTTACAGACTGCCCCGGTTACGCTCACCTGCACATAGCATCCTTTCTCAGTTTAGCATTAAACCACTCATCTTAGTTCTGTTTCCAGCAGTGCCTAGATGTAACCACGATAGGTATACTAGAAATGTAGAGGCTGATTCCACTAAACGTAGTCACCTAGAAACCCTTTTCCTCCCTTCACTTCATCGAGGCTGAGAGCGTGGGTGGTTTCTAAGTGACTGAGAGAGGTGGAATAGGTAGGAGGAAAAGGGTCTGAAACATTAGGAATAACTTGGGAGGGAGGAGGGTGGAATCGGGTCGTCTCTGCTACTGCTGTGTTGTTCCACTCTGGAGAAGTAGCAGCAGGAGGTGCTGGAGGAGGAGGATTTACAGCAGACGCTCTGGAGACCCAGAGCCAAACTCTGACTGCTGGAATTGCACACAGGCTGCATATGCCACTGGGAGGTGGTGGAGTGTAGTAATAAGTGCAGTTGTTTTTATGTATGTAATCACTTGGATAATCACAGGAAAATCTGCAAGTGAATTGGACTATATCAGATTATTTGCTTTTTATGTTTAGTTAATACTTATGCATTAAGAAATCAGAAGCAGCCTTTTAGAAGACTGGGCAGCCTTTTTTTTTTTTTTTGAGTTGGGAATAGTTTAAAAAGCACAGTTTTCTGGCTATTAGAACTCTGCGGTTTGATCTGCAATGAAGGGCTGTTGTTTGTAAGAAGTCATTTAATGCCGGGAAAGAGAACTACTGATTGCTATCAGGCTCCTCTCTTCCCCACTTTCAGTACTCGGATTAATTGAGAAACTGGCCTTCATCTACAGCAGTATGCATGGGGGCAGATGTATGTGAAGTGCTTTATGTGTTGGACACTAACATTAGCTGAGAATTAATTCCTTTTTTAACTATTACCAGTGTCTCTGTTGACTGATGGTGATTTCCCAGTAATTTTCAAAGTGTCTCATTTGCTTCTGCCATTAAGTGCCTTCTAAAGGAAATGCAGTTTGCTTTTGAGTGTCTGGAATATTGTATGTAACGTAGTAGAGTTATCAGGTAAATTAAACTTGTTTCTGAACATGAGTGAGGCATGACCTTGGATATGCTGACCATGATTTGTCAATCAGATGCTGAAGTATCTGCAAAACAAACCCTTTTCTGTAGTTTTCCTCATTCGTGTGTATGTTAATGAATCTCTTCGTACATAGATATAATCAAACAGATTAATTCTGGGTTTTGATCTTGTTTTGCCCTGACCGTTGTTTTGGAACCTAGTCAAAATATGTTCAAAATATGTCTTCTCTTAAGAAACAGTGTTTGAGCAAATAACACTTCTTCTGGAAGTCTATATTATTGTAAAGCTTCTCATTAAATAATACTGTGAGATACTTACTAGACGATGAGGAAAGCTTTGCCCTCCATTAGGAACTGAGGTGTTTTTTATTCGTTGAGATATTCGGCACTGGAAAAGTACTTTTTGTAAAGTTCTTATAGCAGCCATAAATACTAGAGAGACTTCCTGTTTGCTGTACTTTGCCCTGTGCTGTTATCGAAAGACACCTCGATTTTTGCTCTAGAGAAGGCAGGAGTAAAGAAAAAAGACAGCCAGAGCGAATAAGTAAACTGGGGGGTGGGAATCATATGACCCAGCCTGAATATTTTTTCTTTTAATTTGGAAATGTATTCTTGCTTTTATAATTCAATGAGTGAGTCCTACACATCAATTATTGTTTTTATTAACTGGGGCCAACTTGTAAGGGTAGTGATGTATCTAGAGTTGCATAGAGGTGCCTAACATCTTCAGAGCTTCCATTACATCAGGAAGCTGTTACTTGAAAAAAATTGACCATTAGTGGTGGTGGTTTTGTGTTTGGTTTTTTTTTAATATGTGGGCTCCTGACTCTCAAGTGTGCTAACAGAGAAGGAAAAGATGTACCCACTTCCTCCACTAGATTTGCATTGAAAATTATTTTCATGTAAAATTGAATAGAGTTGTAAACACTGCAGGAACACTTGTTAGTCACAACAGTGCTGGAATTATGCTAATATAATGCTAATGCTCTTGCGGTGTAGTTGATATCATGCCTGTTAAGATGCTTGTGACTTGCATGTAACGCAAACTCAGTAGATTGATTTTTGTTCAGAACTCTGCCTGTCAGGTAATTTGATGCTACTGAATTTCAAGGCAGATCTGGTGATGACCGTGAGTTCTAGGTACTGGTGAAAGGAAGGAATGTTGTTAAATAAGGGCACACTTAAACCCTTATTGTTATTATTTGAAAATGAGAAATCCAAAGCGGATTTTTGCGCATGTAGCTTCAGATTACAGGATTTAAACTGAGGCAGTACTGTGAGTCAATTCTAGAATATTTGTTTACAGGACTAAAGCTTTCAATGTGTGGAATCAGACACACACTATTTTAACTTAGTTTTAGGGAATAGACCAGTATGGCTAGCGTCATTTCAAAAGCTGATTGGAATGTTTTGCTACTTGTTTTCCAGACTTACCCACAGGTTGGGAGGAAGCTTACACTTTTGAAGGTGCAAGATATTATGTGAAGTAAGTGGAACGTTTATCTGTCACAATACTATAATTTCCAATTAGTTTGTCTAAATGTTGCTGTAATCTTGAATGTATTCCAAACTGAATTTAAGTGTTATGCTATAAATCTGAAAGGAGTATTTAAGCTTGTCATGGTGTATGTTGTCCTTTTTTTACCGAATTCTGCACGGGCGGAACAATTTCCTGAGTTTTTGTGTTAATACTTTTAATTAAAGCTGCTTAAGGATTCAGATTCAAATGAAATTTCTGCTGGGCGTGTGACCATTTAGTGACAAATATCCTTGCAAGTTGAGAATACCTTGAGTTTGTCTGTTTGTTTGACACTCGTGTGTATACACTGTCATGCCATAAATGCTTTCAGGAAGGCAAGATCTTGCTTTGTCACTGGGAGAAGAGTCTTGATTCAGCCCTATTCTCTAGTAATTACGTTGTGTAAAGCCACTCGGAATATTTAATGTGGCTGTTTTCTTTGCGGACCTCCTGTTTCTGCTTCTGGCATTGATCTTTGTTACTCTCTTATTCACGTTTCGGTATATTTTGAGGTATGTATCCACTGTGGTAGACTTGCTGTATTGTGTTTTTGAATGAGAGGCATGGAAATTGAGCTCTTACTTCGAAGTCCAGAAGTTGTGCTGATCAGATCTGTACAAACTTCTTGCAAACTTTTCTTCTCCAGATAATCAGACCATTCTTATCTGGAAAATGTTAAAGTGGGACCTATGTATATTTGTCCAGTTAATATGCTTCTTTTTCTGTTATTTAACAATCTGCAGGCTTTTCTTGATTCATTCAAGAGTTTTTACTCACTACACTGTGTGTTTGGTTTGCCACCATTAAATGGATAGTGTCGTCAGTGGGATAACTTGTATGAGTGAAGGTTACTAATAGTCATAGAGGTTACAGGCTGCAGGTCTGTTTTTCTGCATCTTGGTGTTGAGCAAAAGGTAGCTGCTCTGTGTAAATTGCATTATAGACATTGTGAGATGGGTGTTACGTGTCTGCTGCATGGTTTATTTTATATAGAAACGTGTTTGATTTGATCCTAAACAAAATAAAAAAAAACATTGAAAGATAATGCTTCAAAAATCTGGTCAGAACTGGTACCATGCTCTCTAGAAGGGGTGGTCCTGTTAGTAGGCGACGCATTTGTTTTACTGTACTGTGCTGCCTTCTTGTCATTTACGTTACACTAACGTTGTATAGCAACTGACAAGAACTACACCAGACTGTGGATAGGAATGTACTAAGGATTTCACCTCTGGTGTTCTGTTCAGATTATTAAATGAAGATGTGTGAAAATTACAGAAAGCTGTTTTTGTGTGCGCATGTAATATTAAAAGAAATTCTTCTATACTTTCAGATGGAACTTGTTCTCATGGAGTAAACCGGTGAACAAAGTGTTAGCTATAGTAACTGGAAAACAGCAACTTGAGTTTTCTTGGAATCAAAAAAAGTGTGTGGACAGCTATTGTAGAGTGACTGATGCTCAAACTTAGCAAGTGGCAGGTTGTTTGTGTACTCTTGTCCTTATAAGATCTTGTGTTCAAGGTGTTATCATAACTGTTAAAATGTACATTAAGCTGATTGTTTTGCTGATAGCCGACACTAAATAGCTCTGTTTATATTTAAAAGTTGTGCTGCATCTTTGAAAACCTGTTGCACAAACAACACTTCTCTGTGATTTGATAGATGTAGGAGGGGGTAGCAGGGATGGTGCTGTCAAGCCTGCTGGAAGGCTCACATGGTATGACCAGTTTGGCATCCTTAGTTAAAGACGTGTTTGTTGTGTAGCCTCTCAGGCTGAGTTTAGACTTCTTCCCAATGACAGCTTCTGCTTTTAAAGCTGTCTAGCATTCAGCCCTACCGGTGCTAGAGAAGATGTGAGAGCTAACGTAGACAGGGTGACAACATTATAATCACTATCTTGTAACCCTGGGTAGTGTAACTCCAGATGATGTGTTGATTATAATAATTCTAGTTGTCTGAGTCTAAACTTCTGTGGTGCTCCTGTGTGAGTAGGAAACAGGGCAGGTTGTTGTGACCTTGTGCTATGCAGGCACCCCTACATGTGGATTTTTAACTAACCTGCTCATTTGACTGTACTGATTCACTAAATGTTAACGTTTATTATGTTGATTACAGCATAACGAAACTATGTTAAAACTAAAAATGTTCAAAACCTGTTCATGGTCAGGTCCGAAAGACATATGTTGGTTTATGTTCTGGTAGGAGTTACGAAGTTACAAGGGAATGAATGTTAATGGCAGGCCGTTGATGCATTCAGCCATGTGAAACTCAGCTGTTGGATTTCTGTAATGTGACCAGTAACAGAGTTAGACAAGATGGATAGTCAAGTTTCTTTATCACATAAATAACTTCACCTAACTTCGGAGGCACAGCTTCAAATATGTGGGTTGAATAAAAATGTTTAACAACCTTGCTTTACTGTAAGATCTTACGCTAGACTGTGTTTGAAAATAAAAACCTTTTGAAAATTATTCTTATAGTTCTTTAATAATAGGTCTTCGCTGTTCCAAGTGGGCGTGTCGCTGAATCTATTACTGTGCTTTTTCTGGCTTTGATGTAGTAAACACTGTATAATCAAATTGGGATAATGTTGAGGAGATAATCGTCAGCTAAATCTTAACATTCCTTGGACTGGCATTTCAAACAAATGACTCAGGATACAGACTGCATCGAAATGTGATTATTTTAAAGGACTCCGTATTTTCCTTGGGATGTGTACATTCGTTTTCAGAATAAGTAAATACCAAATGGTGACTATTTTATAGAGTTCCCCCCCTTGAATTTTTTCTAGCTTTAAGAATGAAAGATATTCTGAAACAGGAATAGGTAAGGAGTTGTTTCCATTGCATAAGGTGGTTTTGGTTTTGTATAGGGTTGTATTAGTAAGTTGACGCTAGCTAGGACTTTGACTTTTTTTGCATTTTTTTTGGATTAGTAGAAGAATTCTGATGCTTGGTAATGACAGAATCCTTCTCCCACATCCTCCCCATCCCTTGTAAATGCAAATGACAAAAGGTGTTGTTTGTTATTTGGAGTAATAAATAAATAAATAATGTAATACCATGCTGTTTTGTATACATTCTTGTGAGATGTGGTTACATTGTTAAAATGTTTTGTCTCTTTGGGAGTGAGAAAGACTGTTTTTGTTTACTTAATGTTAGAAATGTGCACAAATAGCCCTTCCTCATCACTTGATGGGAACTTACTCTATCGGTAAACTTTTCTGAAATAATGCTTGGTTTGGGTGTAGTCTTTATTTATGCAATAACTAAACTTTTACCTGGAATATAGGGTTGTATGACTGTAGAATTGACACATTCAGATACCACCTTTAATTAGTTTATTATCAGTTAACTATTGAATCTCCTGTATTATGACATAGAACAAGATCTGGGAAAACTCCTCAGTTGGAAAATTATGGCACTGCATGCTGAAAAACTTGAGATTTTCTGTTGTTCTGCTTAGAATACTTCACTGGACTAGTTAGTTATGCTTAGTGTACTGAGCACTCATTGAGCTCTGGGAAGTTAAGGATTTTATCCCCGAAACAGATTTAAGCTGGATAGTGGTGTGGGAAGCTTAAGTTACTTATATTATTTTTAAGTGCATAGGGAAATGGATTAATGTGACAATCCCAATATGTTACTTGTTCATAGAGAAAACATACTTGGTCATGGGCTTCAGACTCTTCACCTATTAAGATCAATAAGAATTTTCAACTTGATGTTTTTAGTACCTTGTGATGACTACATAGTTGTTAGAGACCAAGGTACTGGTTTTGAGTGCTGTAAAATTACATAAATATGTCTTTCTCTGTGTGTCTATTTATTCAAATGTGTATGTTTAAGAAACCATTATTGCTGGTTAAAACCATCTGACTATCTAAACTCAGGCATTTCCTTACTTTTCTTGCCTTTTTTCCTTACTTTTCTTGCCTTTTTTCCTTACTTTTCTTGCCTTTTTTCCTTACTTTTCTTGCCTTTTTTCCTTACTTTTCTTGCCTTTTTTCCTTTTTCATTTCAGTAGTTCTGAACATATGTTAGGATTTTTGTATTCATTTTTTTTTAAACCAGGTTTATATTATTTAGGTTATTAATTTACCAAAGTTGTTTTAAAAATCAATCCAGTGATCATACTTGAGGAGTTTGGCATCAGTCTAACTAGTTTGGCTTCTACAGAAGTACTCTTAGATAAGCTGTTTGGGTGTCAGAATTTGATATGTCTGTAGTCCGCTGTAGGACAGATACTTTTTTGGGCAACTGACTGAAGAAGTTCTTAAAAACTTAAAGAATTAAGAAGGTTTCATTTTTAGGGTTTTGGGATGAAGTTTACCTTTTCCTATATTTATCAGAACAATTCTTGTCTGTAGCCTTGTGGAAGCAAGGCATTGGCAAACCTAGGCCAAAGCCAAACTGAGTTCACTGTTGCATCAAATAGATTTTTGTGTGCTTTTATAGAGACTTTTATCAATACAGGTTTGTTTATTGTAGGCATGTAGCTTGAAAATTGGGAAGGTAAGAAAAATGTATTAAGTGATTAAAAGGGATAAGATCTTTTTCAGCCTTGAGTTTCTGTTTACTAAAATAAACCTGTGCTCATTGAGAATTCAGCTTTTGTTTGAGCCTGTGTCTTTTATGTGCATTCTAAAGATCCTCTCCCATTCAGCTGAGACTTTCTCCAGAAAAATCAAAGAACAACTAGTCATGTTTGCAGAGAAGCCCTTTCTTGAAAGGAAAAAAGGAATTTGGAAAAAATAAGAGCAGATCAGACTGTTTTTCTCCAACAGTAAGAATCACAGTGTTCCTCCCAGAAATTTAGTTCTTTTCTTGTTACCTGTATTTATTTTACTAAAATTAAGAAAAGACTGACGTTTATTCTTGGCCTTGATTTGGTTTATTCTTACATGGTAAGACCCCTGGGTAAAATAGTGGAATATGGTTAGATGGGTGAACTGGGACATAACATTACAA